GAGAGAGAGAGAGAGAGAGAGAGAGAGAGATGAGACAGAATACACACCTAACACACACACAGTATATTGGATTAAACATCAGTTTAATGTGGTCATCACAATAAGACAGGGACAGTATTTGTTGCGCTGGATTGGAGTGAAGTGGATGCAGTAAAAAAAACCCAAACCCAACAACACCACCCTTCCTCAGACGCTTTCTTATAAGATGTTACCATGGCTACAACGTAAAAGTATATAGGAAGTGAAATGCAGTTTGCTTATGTGAGGAGAGTCAGCACTGTAACGTTCTACTCGTTGTTTGGTTACTTCCTGATTCTGCATAAAAGCAGATCAAGTCCAGAAAGAGACCAAAGCACATTCAGTGAACGACCTCCGCTCTGCAGAGCACCTACAGAGGAGCAATGCACTACATGGCAGGACTGTGAGGAGAAAGACTGTGGTCGAAGAAGACTGTAAGGAGTGTGTGTGAAACTGAGACTACCTGCTGCTTTTCCATGGCAGGAGATGGCCTCTTCATACTTCCCAGCAGCTACCAAACGGTCGGCCTGTCTGCACTGCTGGTGAGCCTGAAGAACGTAAGACAGGGAATGCAATGTGTTACGAGAATGTTAAAGAGGTGGTGGAATGAAACCAGGGATAATATATGAAGCAAAAATACGAAACAGACTAGCTTCCCCTCTTTACTGTAAGAAAACTTCTTGTCATACGTGACAATGAACATTAATGCTATGAAAATGAGACTGATGATCCGATACAATCTGAAGACTTTAAGTCTTTAGATGCGATAAATTGGATTTTATGTGATTTACTGTGTTTTTTGTTCTTGACATGTTACACTAGCTGGTAGTTCTACTGTAATCCTGGATGACCGAGTTTCAGAGCTGTAGCTAAGTTAGGAGGAAATATTAAGATCAAATGGAGAAGGGTTGCATGTGTCGCAGACATGCTCCTGATCAATCATCTAAAACCCTGACTGTGCATTGCTGACATGGGTGGCCTATGTGTCTGCTAAATGCGGACAAGCGGGCCAGAGTCAGCATCCAGCTGACGTCAGAAGGTGCCGTTTTCATCTGGAACGCCTCCTCAACCAATTTATACTTGGAAAGTCGGAGAAGCCACAAGACCCTTAAGTTAACAAACAAGGATCGTGACAATAAAGGTAAAGATTTTAATCTGTAATCCCACTATTGTATTTGTGACTCACTACATAAACCATACGAAGGAAACTGTCCAGGCTCTGTCCACTGCTTCAGTATCCTGATCCTTTGTGTACATACAGCACCTACATCTCCTGATGATTTGTGCCCCACGAGTAAATTTGAGCTGGGTGCACTTTATTTTTTAAACATCTTCTCTTTCACTTCTGCATCTCTATGGTGCGGTTAGCGTATATTGCTAACTATTGCATGATCCGCCATTGCTGTAAAAAACGAAACGTTCCGTTGGAGTGAATGGGGATGACGCGGCTCTGGTTCTGATTTCCGAGGTAACTGGAATGTTCCCATAAATTGGAAAGTCGAAGTAGCTCCACCAATGAGTGTAAACAGCAACCCAACCGTGCCGTCTGTTCGGCCACGGTTGTGTATTTGTCACCGACTAAATAAACCATGCGCAGAGCGCTGGTTAGGCTCTGTTCGTGAACGTACTGCAGCGGTGTTTTATGAGGCATAAAAGCATTGCGCTATGTTGCTAGTGATGCCTGAATGGCTCTGCGAGTAAAACAGATCCATATATTCTTGTTTTTCCCGACTTTACGCCTTGAGAGTAACGCCAGTCTCTGCTCCAACATCTGACTTACGAAGCAAATGAGTCGCAGCACAACAGCAGCAAAGCTAACAACAAAGCGGCTAGCCGCTAGCTCCTAGCTGCTGTAAAGATAGCCTCTTATTGCAACATCAAACTTACAAGGTTGAGCGGGCTGTCCACGACCTCCATGGAGTCGATCCTTCGACGGCTTACACTACATGAAACGCGCCTCTGTCCCTCACTGACTGTCATTCGCACTGAGATTCAAAAGCTCGAATAAAATAATTACAAGAAAATTACTGTAAAGGAAGCAAGAGTCGCCTCGCTGCACAGCCACAGCAGCGTCGTGACATCACAGCTAGCGTGCATCTTGATTGGTCAACTGTGGTGCTGGGTCGGCTTTCTTCTTCTTCTTCTGTTAGTTATTTTAACGGCGTCGGTAAAGCATGCAGCAGCATCACCGCCTGCACTGGCGTGTGGACAGATTAGCAGAGGAAACGAGCTGTATTCTCAATCCTGTAGTTCAAAGATGCTCCTGTAATAATAACATAATCTGTGGTGCTTCCTCTAACATGTAAAGTTCTGATTACGATCCTTTCAATCACGCTACTAAATCTCTCCCCACTCGCACTTATTGCATTTTTAACACTTTCTGTCATAATAGAGTAAAGACGGGGTGTTAATGGGTGTAGTGTATGGGTCAGTCCTATATGATCTCCTGCTTTGGGTTCCTGCCCTGCATGCTGTTCAAAACTACTTACTACTTAATGGACTCTGTAGATGTATTTGTGTGTCCACTATCTCAACATTCATATCAAATCTTCTGCATATGATTATGAATTATATTTTTTCCTTTGGTGCTAATTTCCTATAAACTGAATTCATTTTTGCCAACAAGTCCACCTTTATATTCCCTGAACACATACACAGGCAGATAAGCTCTTCTTTCCTCCCGTCTACTTCGACTTGAGAGACACACAAAGCAGAAACTAGACTTGTGTCTAACTTTCTTTAACACCAGTTTAGCTTCTCATCAAACAAGCATGTAGAAATCTCACCACGTGCACCTGTAACCATGAATGTACTGATTTTTAGTATTTTTTTTTAAAAAGACATGATTTTTTTAACTGATAAAATAAATAAATATAGGATAAATCCCGACTTATTTGCACAGTCTTCTACTTCCTTTCCTGCAGGCTGCATTTTATTTCAGAGACATTCCATTTTTCTACCCAGTGCGCCCCATCTTTAGCATAATGCAATTTTCCTACATTTGTTCAGTCTTTTCAAAAACGTCATTATTCCTTATGTTAAATAATATACGACATATCATACGACAGTCGGCACCTATTTTTACTTCTTTTGTCCTACCAAACAGGAATTCTAATATCGACTTTTACAATTTGCTATTTACTGCTTGTTTTCTGAGTTGCAGAAGTCCCTCCCCACATTTGATGAGGAGCCTCTGTTATCATCAACTCTATGCTCCCTGATCTTAATGCCATGGATCTATAGCTTAACAGATTTGTTGGGTCTTTACCTGAATTGACTATTTACACTATAACTGCTTGGTTTGATTGAGGGGATTGGGATAGCTTGTGCCCTTTACTAATATACACACAATCATGATCATTTATGAACTTTTTCAATCTCTTCATTCACATGAATGAGTTCTGCTACGACTCCCCACATCACATTTCCTCTGATGGGGACACCAACGTCATTCAGTATATCAGTTCTCGGTGTGTTGCTAGGATTATGATAATAGACCACACAATGACATGATATCGTCACACTATGTTTATCTGTCCATACCTTGATTACATTCATAATATTATACCATGTCCTATTCTGGGATAAGACATACCACATGTATGTCCTATTCTTCACCTTTCTAGTCTGTCTGTGACTCCTGATTGTATACCAATATCTGACACAATCAAACTGTCATTTCAACCATATTTCTTGAATACATATTAAATTAGGCGTTTCTAACAATTCTGAAACATCCATCCATCCATCCATCTTCATCCGCTTTACCCGAGGCCGGGTCGCGGGGGCAGCAGCCTAAGCAAAGAGGCCCAGACCTCCCTCTCCCCAGCCACCTCCTCCAGCTTATCCGGGGGAACACCAAGGCGTTCCCAGGCCAGCCGAGAGATATAATCTCTCCAGCGTGTCCTGGGTCTGCCCCGGGGCCTCCTCCCGGTGGGACATGCCTGGAACACCTCACCCAGGAGGCGCGCAGGGGGCATCCTTGTCAGATGCCCGAACCACCTCAGCTGGCTCCTTTCGATGTGGAGCAGCAGCTGTTCTACTCTGAGCCCCTCCCGGACGGCCGAACTTCTCACCCTATCTCTAAGGGAGAGGCCAGCCACCCTTCGGAGGAAGCTCATTTCTGCCGCTTGTATCCGCGATCTCGTTCTTTCGGTCACTACCCACAGCTCGTGGCCATAGGTGAGGGTAGGGACAAAATTCTGAAACAATTTTGTAAAATTCTTGTCCACTGGCTTCAAGACTCATTGAATTCCACAGTGAATACATGAAGAGCCATCAGACCTTGACAGAAAGTTAGTATTTCTGGAATTTAACATTCTTCTACTGTTTCACAGTGTAATCCTTAGATAATAATTGTATTGTTTTTTCCTGTCTTAAACAGTAACAGCAAATACAGTAACACCCGGTTCCCTTGCAACAAACAGAGTCAGTTTTGTGTGAGAGCTGCTCTTCCGAGCACATCCCACGGATCTGTTTACTGTGGAGGCCTTTTGAGTGTTTTTCAATCTTCTGTTTCTTTTTGGTGAGTCCGAAGTGTGGCCTCAGTTTCCTGTTCTTAGCTGACAGTTGTGCCCCCCACTGTGGGGGCCCCACTGTGGTCTTCTGTTGCTGTAACACAGATATGTAAATAACGCAGAGTCATAAAGATACACGCAAAAGAAGTCATTTCTTTAACGCTGTCTGTAAATCCCGCTGACTACAGCTCATTACACATAAAACCAGACAGGGAAACACAGGCATCCCCGAGCATCCTCCTCCTCCTGCTGCTGATTCAAGCGACCGGAAATAGAAATGTTTCTGTAAAAATAAAACCTCAACGATATTCATATCTTAGCTTGTCTATGCTACGTTATATATTAAATCTCATGGGTCTATTTTTTAAATTCATCTTTATTCAGTGGTTATTTCTGAACTCGAATGAATCTAGTTTTTTCTTTTTCTTCACGCGGTTTTATTGCGACATAATAAACAGAAATGCTTTGCGTGCTTGTCTCACGTGACAGCCTGTTTTGTTTTCGTTTAGTGCTGAAGAGGAAGTGTCTTTCTGTTTGGTCGGTGGGATTCAAATATATAAGACAATCGCGAGCTTTTAGCCGTATAATATCTTAGCAGGTATCGAAGGGTTAGGGTATCGAAGGTTCTGCTGGTTCCGTAGCCCGTGTAGCTAAGCCGACTTCCGCCTGTGCGTCCTGCGCGGACACGTACGCAGCATCCTGGGAGCTTTAAAACGAGAGTGTTAAATGAAGTACACGCCAACAGCAAAACCACTGATGCTGATGACAAAGACAAGTCATACGTGTTTGATCGTTTCCAGCATGGCCTCTTTGGTCCTGCTCATGATGGTGCTTTACGGAACCATGAGCAGCCAGCAGCCGGGCGGCTCGAGCCTCAGACACGACTACCAGCTGCTGGGCAGACCCCTGTACAAACTGGATCTGAGCTGGCCCAAGAACCCGGAGCTCTACACCGGAGACGTGTTTGGAGTGGCAGTCAACCAGTATGCTGGGGTGGTGTATGTGGCTCAGAGAGGTAATCACACTCTGTTGGTAAAGTACTTCAGAGTCAAACATCATAATGGTGACTGCGTCATCAGTGTGTCAGTGCAGATGAAGATGATCTTAATTGTTATCTGTTACGATAAGGTCGACATTTGGAAACTGCTTCATTACAGAAGTTAATTTGAACACAACAAATATAATAAAGGTAGTAAAACAGTGGTGCTGAGGTCAGATGAAGTAGCTCACTGTATCCGAGTGTAAGGGCACCAGGTGGCAGCGATGCTTTTATAGATGTTGCCAATGCAACCCAGTGTGGAGCAGGGCCCAGTGTGGAGCACAAAATGGGCCCAGGCATTTTGAGTAGAGGCCCAGGTATTGTAGGAAAAGCTACAAAGCCTTTGAATGAAACACTGCAGTGACAGTGATGTACAGTCTTGTTGGTATATGTATGATTTCTATACAGGTTACATCAGATGACCACTTTAGTTTAAAGATTCAGATAATTATTTATTAAAAGTGAGACATTTTAAATAAGAATAAGACAGAAAAGTATTTCTTTGTGCCCCCCTCTCCCTGTTAATGCCCTACCTGCCCCCCTGGCAACACTTTGCTAGACCCGCCCCTGCACAGTTACCAGCTGTCAGCTGCTTAGAAAAGGATCCTGGTGTTATTTGTCTCTCAGAAACAGCTCATAACTTCAACTCATCCATGTCACCTAAAAGGTAAACCTGTTTCTCCATCACAGCTCTGATGATCCAGTAAGGACATCTCCTGGTTTCATCTTCATGTTTCCCTCTCACCAGATATACAAACCATATCATGACCAGCAGCTTTACAGCTGTGGCTCCAGCAAACATCAGCTGATACTAGAAACTAATATTAAATTCTAACAACAGCTGATCAAGCTTAAATGTGCTGCTGTTGTTTAGCGCGACATCTGCTGGTTTCCTCTTTCTGGCGCAAAGTGAGCGATAAACAAACAAGAGAGGAAAGCCGATCAGCTGATCATTGATCAGTTTCATGATTGAAGTAGCAACGGGAGAGAATGAGAGGAGAAGAGGCAGCTGTGCAGCAAAGACACAGAATAACTCCAGCTTTGTAGCTGAAGTCTGGGACGAATCAATACTATTTTCTTCTGTGTATCTGTGATAAGACAAGGGGGCGGGTGCATCTGACCTCCTCGGCTGTAATTGGTCCATTTCAGAATTGATCATGGCACATTGTCCAATCAACCACCTTTCATTGTTTATGCCATTACAAAATAAACAAAAACCAAAAAAACATTGGCCCATAAAAACGAAAAATCACCATCGGCCGAAGGCTGGTCAGCTGTGGTGTGGAGGGACATCTGTGTGTGGTATTTAGTACATGATACAGCGCAGTTTTGAATCTGTGAATGTATTAGCAAAGTATCTGTAATCTGAGTAGATACACCGAAAGAAGAAGATGATTTTAAAAAAGAAAAAATCACTCAGAAAATTACAAAACGTCAGTACACACGAGAGGTTTGACATTGTGCTGCAGTTCTCTGCTTAACAAGTGCATCGGTTTGTGGACAAACAAATTCTGCAGTGTCACAGTTTTGTGGTCA